CACCGCCCCCCGCGCAGGCCCACGAGGGGCTGGGCGGCCGCAAGACCTGCATCCTGGAGCCACTCACCCGGCCCCGGCCCCGAGATCTGGCCTACTCCCAGCTGTCACCCCAATACCACAACCTCAGCTACTCCTCCAGCCCCGAGTACAGCTGCCGCGCCCCCCAGAGCATCTGGGGGCGCCTGAGGCTCAGCCGCCGGCGACACAAGGACGATGATGACGAGTTCATGGCCGCTGGCCATGCCCTGCGCAAGAAGGTCCAGTTTGCCAAGGACGAGGACCTCCATGACATCCTGGACTACTGGAAGGGGGTGTCCGCCCAGCACAAGTCCTGAGCCCCGGCCAGCCCTTGAGGGCCCCCCGAGGGCCTCCTGTCTCCCCCAAACCCCTGATGCCCACTGGACCAAAAAAAAAAACCCCACATGACCTGTCATGACTCCGATTCTCACCACAAACCCCAACACACGCACACCCGGCTGGGCCAGCAGCGGGGACCATGAGGGGACCTTTGGAGGGTGACAGATAAATGTTCACGCTCATCTGTGACCTGGCACCAGCGGTATGCACGTGCACACATGCACACACATACACATGCACACACACGCACACGGGACTCCGGAAAACTGTGTCTTAGGGGTGGGGGTGGGGGTGGGTTTTTTTTTCATTATCTTTCCTTTTTTGATTCTTCTCTGCTTTTTCTTTTAACTCTTTCTCTTTATGTTCTTCCTTTTTTAAAAAAAATTATAAAAGTTAAACTGCTAAAAAAAAAAAGGACAAAACACCTGCTCTGGGGGTGTGGCCTCCTAGGACCCCCCCCCAGAACTGGTTTTCTGTGGACTCTGGACCACCCGTGTCTGTCCTGAGGCCACCAGGAAGGGGTAGAGTGGATGGGGGAGGGGGGCCGGGGGGACCCTGGGGTCTTGGGTCGGAGGCGCAGGGTGGCTGCCATGGCTGGAGGGCACCACCAGGGGGCGTCAGGGGCCCCAGCCGCGTCCCATTGCACACTGTCGTTAGTTGTTGTACAGAAAAAAAAATTTCTATATTTGCAAATGTTTACTGTGAAATGAGAAAGAAAAAAAAACTATGTCTACTAAACAAAAAAAATCTGCAAAGGAGAAAAAAAAACGAAAGTGTTTGTGGTGGATTTTTACTGTGGACTCCTTGGGGGGAAGTTTAGGGGGTCTCTCTGAGCCCATTTTGGGGGTGGGCCTTGTTGGAGGCCACAGCTGAATGATGGGCATGTGGGGCCCCTCGCTGGGGGAGGGGTCCTCAGCTTTGCCGGCTAGTGTGGGCGGGAAGGGAAGGCAGAGGAGGAGGAGTGGGGGGAGGCAGGGGGAGGCAGGGGGAGGGGACTGAGCTCAGGGCACGCCTGGATGCTGGAGGCGCCAGAGGTGGCCACATCTGCTTCCACATTCCCACACTGAGGTGGCAGAGGACAGCCTAGGACAGTTGGGGCTCCTTGAGAGCCCCAAGAGATTGAGTTTGTATGTGTGTGAGCCCATGATCGAGGCTGTGTACGTGTGGGGACCTGCAGTGCCAGAGCCCCAGCCACAGGAAAAACCCCTGTCCTGAAGCTAGGAGCCTAGAGCCCGCCCTCAGTCCTCCAGCGGAGCCCTGTCAAGCCCACCCTCCGTCCCACCATGAACAGTACTAGGTCTTTCAAGTCCCTGGAGCAAGTGTGAGAAAGTCTCTCTGAGTAGCTCTAGTACTTCCTGCTACTGAGCATGTGCTCACCAGGACTGTGACTCGAGGAGGAGAGCCCCTCCCAGGCCCCCAGTCCACCTGCCAGCCACATAGGGGCTCTGGGGCTACCCCAGGGAACCAGTCCCAGCCCCAGGCCCCTGGGAGAGAAGGTGGGGGAGAGGGGTGGTCTTAAGGCTCTGCATGTCTTGGCCTGTTCCTCCTTCCCACTCAGTTCCGGGGCACCCTCCTGCCTGGTGCCAGACACATGGAAATCACATCCCCCACCTGGCCGGGGGACCCTCCCTTCATGGTCCCAAAGCTCTGGTGGTGGAGCCCCCCATCCTCGTGCCCCCACCCCTGGCCCCCAGGGGCAAACTGTTCCTGATCTGGAATCTGACCATCAGCTGGGGCCACTGCTGCAGGCTGCAGGCTCCTCCCCCAGGTCTGGGCCACTGGGCACCTTTGGAGGCTCTGGCCCCCACCGGGGCCAGGGGCGGGGCTGAGCCAGGGCGGGGCCTGGCCAGGGGTGGGGTCAAGCCAGGCTTGGGGCAGGGCAGCTGCGCTGTGGCTGCGGGAGGGCAGGGCTCTGCCCAGGCACCAGAGGAGATGAATGACGGGACAAGAGTGGGGTCCTCACTATAGGAGCCCTGACAGCTGCCCAGAGTCCCCCACCCCACGTTGAGCTCGTGTCCCACGCCTGCCAGTGCTGGAGACCCTCTGGGAAGTCATCTGCAGGACGTGGGGAGAGGTGGGCAGCTCAGGGCAGCACAGGGCCTGGGGCTCCAGGCCAGCATGGGCAGAGCCCCGAGGGCTTCCTGGAGAGGGTGGCGTCTGCTTCGGCAGAAGGGAAACTGGGTGAGGAGGGGAGCTGAGCCTGGGGCAGCTGGTTTGTCTGCAGTTTGGGGGTCTGGGGTGAAAAGCAGAAACTCAGAGCCCAGTTCAGCGCCCACAGCAAGCCACCCTGCCTCACCAGTCTCGGTAGCCTGGCCTGCCCAGCATGGGGGGGCAGCCCCCCAACAATGGTTACTGCAACCTAAACCTCGCATCACAGGCAGCCACAGAACCAACAGATGGCTGCTCCTACACCCCAGGTAGCTGGTGGGGAACCCCTTCCCCCCTTCTCCCCTAGCAGGCCCAGTGGCCACCGGGGGGGGTCACCCTTGGTGGTCAGTTGTCCAGTCTCTCTGGTGGCAATCGCAAGGCTGTTCCCAGGAGGGGAGGTCTGGGTCCCGAGGTTGACTGCACAGCCAGGGCAGCTATGAACCAAGGCCCAGCACCCCGGCCTCCACCTTCCATTCATGCATGCGTTCCACACACAACGACACAGCGCCGGCCCTGAGCAGCCTCTGGAGGCAGCAATGAGTCGCCACCCTTGAGGGGCTATTCCCACGGGCCCAACAAAGAGGACACCCCAACAAGAGCCCATTTCCAGACAAGGGACCCAGCATCCGTTCCATCAGCACACTGCAGCCCCAGGGCCGAGGGAGGAGGAGGTTACCGTGGGCATCAGCCCGGCGGGCCTCAGGGGGGCCTCAGCAGAGGCTCACGGCTGGCAGGAATCAGGAGAGACCTGCAGGCCTTGCTCTGCCCCACCATCTTCCCATTTCCTCCCAGGGGCCCCACGTCTAATCATAGCTGGGCAGGAGTCAGGGAGCCCTTCTGGAGGTCAGCAGGGACAGAGTGGCTCGCACCTGTAATTGTAGCCACTCAGGAGGCTGAAATCTGGAGGATCAAGGTTTGAGGGAGCTCAAGCAGGAAAGTCTGCAAGATTCCATCTCCAAAATAACCAGCCAAAAAGCTGAGCTGGAGGCGTGGCTCATGCAGTGGAGCACCCTCGGAACAAGCAAAGCTGAGCAAGTGAGAGGCCATGAGCCCAAAACTCAGTACTAGGAAAAAAACCAAAAAGAGGCACCAGGGGTATGGCAGAGGCGGAAGCTATGGATTCTGCCAGGGTCCAGGGTGAAAGTTGACAAGACAGATGTAGGCACTGGAGCCAAGGACTGGTGGGAACATGTGCAGACCGCTCCCATTCACAGTCCAAGCAGACAAGGGCAGGGTTGGGCCGGGCCAGACTTCTGCCAGGCTGGGAAGCCCCATCTCACAGCATGAGGAAATCACAACCATAATCTTTGCTGCTAAAGATGCTGAGATCTGAGGACTGCAGTCCAAAGCCATCGAGGGATACTTTTACCTTTAACCAACCAGCAAAAAGCTGGAAATGAAAGTGTGACTCAAGTGGTAGAGTACCAGCCTTGAGTGAGAAAGCTCAGAGACAGTGCCAAGGCCCTGAGTTCAAGTCCCAGAACTTGCATACACACACACACACACACACACAGAATCATAACTTCTGTCTTGTCCCAGAAATAATAATCCCTTTATTATAACAATGTTAGACCATAGTTCAGTGAAGCAGCTGGAAATCAAATTCATCACGCAGAGGTAGCCATGCAACTTGGGGGTGCAGGGGACTCCTGGATTCTTCCTCTCCTCTTGGCAGGACACACAGTGGTGTGTGAAGATGAAGAAAGCATGGACTGGGGGGTGCAAGTGGCCTTGTGCATGGCTGAGGAAGGAGGGAAGAGAGGCCATGTCTGCAGGGGAGGCTGCCCTGGTCAGCACCACAGACAACGCCTGCTCACTGAGACCAGGAGGGGCCAGGGCACTGTGAGACCTGGAGTATGCGCTCTCTCTCTCTCTCTCTCATAAACACACAACAGCGAGAGGAGAGAGACAAAGGAGAGAGATTGAGAGAGGGAGAGAGGGGGGGAGGGAGAGAGACTGAAGTTTGAACTCGGAGCCCTTACTAGACAGGACTCTACTGCATAAATATACCAGGACGGTGATCCTCCTATTTGTACTGCTGTAACCTGGAAAGCAGGAGTGTGTTATCACGCCAGCTACTGGTTGAGATGGGGTCTTGAGATCTTTTTGCCCATGTTGGCCTCAGATTGTAATCCTCTGACTTCTACCTCCCAAGTAGCTGGGATGACAGGTATGAGACACCACACCAGGCTTAGTTCCCACCAATTTTATGGGCGGCAGTGTGTGTGTTTCTCTGCAGACTTACCCTGTGTGTGTGTATATATATATATATATATATATATATATATATATATATATATGGACATCTGTGTGACCACCATAATCATTGAGGCACACCACACAAACCTCCCTCTTACTGTCCCTTGTCACCCCGCTACCTCATTCCTAAAAGCAACCGCAAAGCTCACTCTTCCCCTGAGAATTCTGCCCTGAGAACGCCACATAAAGATGATCGTAAACCACGTATCGTTTTGAGCTTTCTCCTTGAAGCACCAGCCCCTCCAGCCCCACCCGGGTCATGGTATGTGCCAAGAGGTTATTCTTTTTCCTTGCTGAGTATGTACATGTGGCAGAGCACAAGTATTCAACCATTCACCTGCTGGAAGACTTGCTTAGGGCTTGGGACTATTACAAATAAAGCTACCATGAAAATCAATGTACAGGTTGGTGTGAACTTAAAATTCTGATTTCTCAGGTATAAATCATGGTGGCAGGTGTGTGGGTGGGGGGGAAACCAATTGCTAGTCTGTGTCATTAGGGCTTTGGGGGTTGGCTTTATCCTTTTCTTGAGACAGGGTAGCAATTTGTAGCCAACCAACGCTGGCTTTGTACTTCTGATCCTAAGTGCTGTGGTTGCAAAAGTGTGTTAGCATGCCTTGACTTCCTTAAACATTTTTATGTGTGCATGAGATTCAGTTTTTAGTGGCTTGTGGTGTTTTGAGTTGATCTCACTGTGTAGCATTTAGAGGAAGCTCTGTTACAATATACATTTATGTTCTATCACTTCAAATTGAGCAGAGAAATTTGACTTTAACTCTTTTATTCTCCCCCACCTTGCTTGAGCATGTAAATTATATCTAAGTATTTCATCTA